TGGCGTGCAGCAACAGACGGAGGTGTTGTTGCCGAAACTGTAAGGAGTTAGGATTGGTGGAATCAGCATTCGACATCGGCCTAGTGAGAAAGAGATGATCCATGTGAAAGCGTGTGAGAATATGCGGTGGCTGAGATTAAGAAACGAAGGCATGTTTAACGTGAGCTCGTCCACCCCGTTCTCACGCACAACGTGATGGTGTAACGAATTGCATCAGAGCGTGTCATAGCCGAAGACGTCAAAATGGGCCTTTACATAATTAACGAGCACAGGCATGCGCATAACCGACCTTCCGTTGGGTGTCTCCTATGAGCAGTGTTGGAGTAAACATTGCTACGAGCAGTATCAATTTAGCTTGAGAAGTCGTCATGGCCAGTGGGGTCAAGGTCAAGGCGGACATCTGGCTTCTGGACCTAGGAATTGGCGACATTGTCCTCATCTCTCGGTTCTGTTTCCAAACTTGGCATACATTCCCAATTGTGATTGCTGAATGCGGAGTTAGTTTGACTTAAAGCAATCCACTTGGCTGATTTAAGGATGAACTGTCGACTTTCACATCCACTGTTGTAAGTGCAATTTAAAATGCTTTACTGTACCGATTTTCTTTAGCTTAAGTTGAGAAAATTTTTCTCTTCAAGTTGCAGCTTATTGTTGATGTTGAGAATTTCATTTATGTCCCATTTTCATAAGGCAGAAAAAATCATTATCCTGTTTGCAATTAACCATAGGCGTTGTGTAGTTACCCTTGCGTTGTTTTATACGTTAATTTTAGCCTCATAATATGAAGAAATATATCAGCATTCTTGTTTTGCCAGAAGCATCTTCTGCCACTTAACGCAACTAACTTGCTTAATCATGCAATTGTCCGCTTCCTTCACAGTTCACGCGCAAATTGAGTCATTTTGTGGTGCTGTGAATGGCGTCTCTAAAAATAGAAAAAAATTTGATGATGAAACCGCGCGGCAGTCAGACGATTCGTGCGTTAACTGTAGACCCAAGATGCAAGCAACCGAAATGTGTCCTGTGTAAATGCTGCTGAGAAAGTATCATCTGCCAAGCGCACCACTATTGCAGTTTGATTAGGCAGTTTTAAGAAGAGGAGCAGCACCCACATTAAGCTGACCCACGCTTTTGTGCTCGAACGCCTGGACCCTTGTTGGGCTCCTACGGTCTGCCAAGACGGTGCCATCTGAGATACCTTTGAAGTCTGAAAATGAGCTTAAGCATCTTCACCGTTTATTAAAGGATGATCTTGAAACTGTGGAGGAACGTTAAAGGATTTAGGATGTTGCTCCTTTTAGAGCAATGCCATTGATCCTGTCATCGTAACGGTGCGATCGTTGCGAAAGCTTCCGCCTTGTGAATTGAGTGACCATGCAAACAGAATGTGGTACTGTGTAACATTCCAACCAAATTTTAGGTAGAACAATTAATTAATAGTTTTTTGTATCCCACACTCCAGTGTGGGGCAAACTGCGTATAAAACGCTCACTGCAAACGACATAATAGTGTGAAGTCGTTAAATAATCCATCGGTCTGGTGTTAAATCGCCAAAATACGGATGCTACTTCAGTAAGGTCAGGGACTGGCAGGTGCGATCATGGAAATGCTGTCATAGCAAAATCGAGGCAGTGTGCGGCATGCATCTCATCTCTGTATGACTACGCCTTCTGTACAATCAAAGCAAGACGAGAACAAACCGTGGAATTACTTTGGTGTCTTCTCCTCTACCACCTTCTTCCACCCAAATGACATGCGACACTGTTAACTAGCTTAAAATCTTTATTGATGCTGCTTCTTTTTTGATAATTGTTGTCTGATGGTTGATTTTGTCCATGACTAGGACAGGAACAACTTATTTGCTGACGGTAAGCAGAATAGGATAACATAAATGCTTACCGAGTAATACCTTATGTCATTTTTTGAAGCCTAGCCGTCCCGAAATACCCTACAGTAGATGGAGGAATGTATTTACAAGTTAAGCTGCAAATCTTATAAATCTTGAAACCACCTGCACAGAATGCTGGGATTGGGCAATAAAATGAGGAATTCTTCCCGGAATCGATTATAATTCGAAGATGATGTAAGTCTTAAGATTTCCTCTCTCGTAGGTGTGTTGGAGAGGAAAAGCGCTTGGCCTTACTTCAACATCGCCAAGTGCGCGTAGTCTGTCAATTGTAAAAATTGTTAGACTCCTTTATTATGAAGCGTGTCATGCATTTTTCTCATTTTTGACATCTCAATGACCCCACCTGTCCAACATGGCTTAAGATTTTCACCACGAGCTCCCCTTCTCGACCCTGTGGTTTTCCAATTGGACGGGAACCAAAGTCCCGGTAACTAAAGAACTTTTATCAAGGCGCACAGTAAAATGAGAGTTGATGGATCGTCTAACCGTTTCTTTGTCCCAAGGGAATGTTTGGCTATATTATTACAACGCATTGTGTCTTGGCCTTATTTGCACAGGGTTTTCTTCAGTAATCTGGTTATTGGCTGCATTTTCCTTGTCTTCCATATTTCCCTTATAGTTTACCTTCAACCTTGAGAATGGATCCACCTGCATCGGTCAACTGTACCATGAGACATTGCAAATGGGGAAATTTAAACACCCTTAAAAATCAAATTTGGAATAAAATCCACTTAATCACTTTTTAGAAGTCAAAAGACTTGAGGCAACCAAATGATCTAAGCTATGCGATAATACAAAACACAAGCTGGTCTTATCAAAAATAGTCAATTCAATTGCAATGAGATGGACATTTGTTTGCTTTTAGCGGAAACGATGATGACTCAAATGAACTAAGGACTCGTTTATATCGTGTCGTATTTCTCAAAAGATTAAGTGAAAAGAACCTTTTGGCGAAACTTGGTTCCACCCAGTCACTCTTGACTCTCGCAGAACAGGAATCTATAAACTGCGCCAACAAACACTGGGAAAATCAAAGCCACTCTGGTAATACCAATGCGTCTGACTGAAATCACTGGCATTAACACTGACTCGGACTTCAGTGTTTGACGTTTGGGCGCATCCGCAATCGGTAGTACCATACACTACATAACCTACTAGTACGTATCACTGGCTTCCTGGGAACTCGAATCACTGCAAATCAGCGACGTAACGAAGATGAATGTTTAACTATAATTTTAGTGCGAGAACACTTGTTTATAAGTGTTAGCAATTAACTGCGATCCTTGCAAATGGCCTCTCTTGTATTTTAAAATAGTAAAGTGGGTCGTGTGCTTCATTGCAAAAGTTAGACAACTAGATTAGTTTAGGTTGTCAAGCTTATCATGTGATAACTTCAATAAACAATAAGAAGGATAGCAATGCAGTTGATGTTTGGTGGTTTTAACTTAAGGTTTGTCTTAATTGTCACTCTCACATTGTGACTCGTATCGCTTCTTTACTTATGGCAACGCAAATTGACCTTCCTTATTAAGAAATTTGGGGGATGGGGGAGAAGGGAATGGAGGGTTCAGTGGTCTGTACCGCCTAAACAGCAAGTAAAGGAACCCCTAACGATATCACCGATAGATAACGTTAAAAGAAGTAGCTAATCTTCTACCAATGTGCTCCGGCTTAATTTTCAAATAATTGGCCTTCCGGAATTCAGTCACAAAGTGTGTAGACGTGAATGGCACTTAAAATCGTATTCGCCCATGGCAGGTATTCTTAAACGAACCTAGGTCGAGTGAATGCAATAAATAGCTCGTCATCTCCCGAATGTAGTCTGATAATTTCGTGTTAAGCATTGGTTTATATAAGAACGCTCGATGATATTGAATTGAGGAATCAAATACGAACGGAGAAATATCAATTTCAGCTCCATTCTAGAACATGACGTCTCCATATTCCTCCGCACTGTGGTATCCTTGGCAGGCGATCTGCAAGCTGACTCGAGTAATACCTCGAACATCGCAAGAACTATGCAATAAGCGCTAAAGTAACGTACTTAAGACAGCCAAATGAGCGTGGAGAACATGCATCTTCACATAGCCCTCATCACCTTTGCGAATGTACAATGCTTTAGTCGCCCTAAAACTCGAAAATTAATTTGAACGACCCATGAATTCATACTGGACAACAAAATGTCAGCCTTCATCCCTTCTTCCTACGTAAAAGTCGATGCCTTCGACTTCAGAAGTACTCAGATGACTAACCGATAAAACACTGGTTTAATATTGCACGGAAAAGGACATTAATGAAAGTAAGCATGCAATCCTCATTCAGACAATGGCATACTAAACCCATTTTACCACACTTGCCAACGCTATATCCTGTTGCCGTGACTAAGAGATCCCATCATCCATCCGTCCCATCAGTTAATGAGCGTAGAAGGAATATTAGGCCTTCAAATCGCTGCTTTCCGTCCAGGTTGTACTCATCCACAGTTCATACTCGATGAATAAAAATTCGCCCAAATCTTCTCCTACCTTCACAATGATGCGTATGTTCATATTTCACGTTTTCTGGCTTCTGTTTAATGTAAGGCGGCTACCTACTGCTCAAAGACGGCTCCCGGTCTGCGGCAATTCGAGCACTTCGCAAGTCTCAGCATCATGACGAACGGATTGAGGAGAAAATTCCAGTTTTGCTGCGTATTTGCTTAGTAAGGAAGGTAGTTCGCTATCTCATATTTACTTAGCCCACGTAGGTCAAGAGAAAAATAAGTCAGACTTACCACCATTATAAAGCCCGCTAATGCTCTTCTTCCACCTTAGGCGCGCTCATATCCACGATTTATGCATATTCATTTTTCCTATACACAGCGAAGCAATCTCTGCCATTTTGGGACTTATTTGCTGCAATTCAGACCCTGTTGTTCTAGTCAAACTCGCATTCCTGGTGTGTTTTAATTTGTCCACGTTTATGAGCATATTTAATATCGGCACAACCAGTTGGTTTGTAGATGTACAAGACGGAGTTGTGTCTTAAGGACATCATTTAACTTCGTTTCCCGATCCGCTTTGTAGACTTGGCTTTTCCTCCTTCTAGATTAATGAAGAATCTCGAAGTAATTCCAGGCATATTCAATGTCACCGATGATTCTGATGGTGTAGTTAGGATGCATACCCTCAAAGAACAGCTTCGACTCCTCCTGCACTCTGAATGGTGTCTCTTTTTGCGGACGCCTCTCACTATCTGTACCGACCCGCACTGTCCTAAGATTCGCAATGTATTTCGCCACATTGTAAACTGTACAGCAGGAATGAACTGTAAACTACCCCAATGCCCTCCTGCCAAACAGCTTGTCTTCCATTTTTACAGTTGTGAGGATCAGCAGTGTCCCGTGTGTGATACCATGCGGTTTGCGTTGGAGAAACGATTCTACCCTATTGAAAGGGATGGTGAGGATACGAACCGCGATTTCAACCTAACAATGGAGGAACGGTGTGATGTTATTCGTGCAATGTAAGTCGATGTCATTCCTCCTTTCATAGATGCTATTAGGGCGTTGTTGACGGCCGGAACTCCAGACTTGACGAATCTCCATCTTCCCGGAATGGAACATGCGATCCGGTGTGCCAAGTATTTTGAAGACAATGTCTATGCTAAAGCGAATTCTCTTGATCAATACGCATGCCAAATTGCAAATTATGCCATGCCGAATGGACAATCTTTGGATAAATATTGGTCTTTGTAATGAGTGGTAACATTCACTCAGTAGACTAAGATGTAGTCCAAAGTCCAAGGTACTGGTCAGCTACACAGCCTACATTGCTAATTTCTGTCAGCACT